ATGACCCAACACACCTCCAGGCTGTGTAAGGGCTATTTTACCAAGAAGGAGAGTGATGGAGTGCTGCATCAGATGACCTGGCCTCCACAATCCCCCGACCTCAACCCAATTGAGATGGTTAGAGATGGGTCGGAAGGCAGAGTCAAGGAAAAGAAGCCAACAAGTGCTCAGCATATGTGGGAACTCCTTCAAGACTGTTGGAAAAGCATTCCAGGTGAAGCTGGTTGAGAGAATGCCAAGACTGTGCAAAGCTGTCATCAAGGCAAAGGGTGGCTATAACACTTTTTTTTGTTACTACATGATTCCATATGTGTTATTTCATAGTTTTGATGTCTTCGCTATTATTCTACAATGTAAAAATAAAGAAAAACCCTTGAATAAGTAGGTGTGTCCAAACTTTTGACTGGTAGTGTACATCAGTAGGCCAAACTATAGACCTCGATTCCTGGGCTAGTAAAACACACACTTGTCTTGACAGCTACTGTAAAGTATTAGGCCTACAGTGCTGCAAACCATGGATAATATGAAATTTATGGCGCTAACAATCATATGCAGAGACCAATTTATATACCAAATGAAATTATAAATGCTCACCATATGATTCCTCTAATGAAAAAGAGGTTTCCATCCTTCCCCCTGAGGGGCTGGTCTGTGTAGGGCAGGCTTATCTGCTGACCCACTCCTCTACTGCACTGACAGCTGAAAGAGCCTCAGAAAGACTCCTTGTGTCATGCGCAAAAGGTTCAGTTTCACCACACTATTGTAACCAGGTGTATTCTGTTACTTTATGTAACAGGAGGAGGATTTAAATGGGTAGAAAAACAGGACTTTGCGTCCAGACGGTTCACTATGGTGATGAGGGTATTTTGCAGTAACAGCATGACATGAAGTGGGGAAAATGCCTCTGCTGTGACACTCAAGCTGATAGACCAAAGCCACTGCAGTCAATAAACACACCTTGTAAGATGGCAGCCATGCTTCAATGTAAAGAATAACTATGTTGTATTCCTATTAGGAGCCACACACAAGTAGCTTGTGTCTCTCCCCGTATCTTATCTGTGCATGACAGTGAGGATCTGTGCATGAGTGTTTGCTAAACAGACGTGTTAAATTGCGTCAATTCAAATCTGGTATAGGAACAAAAAGAGGTCAATACACGTCTTCTAAAATAGACTAGTATTTTAATTAATGCAAACACTTGAATGGTAAATATGATGTTCGTATATACGGGCCCACTGAAACACCTCGCAGGGCAGACAGAGAACTGAGCTATTGTTATAAGTTCTTCTTTAAATACTCTGACAAAGAGAGTTCCCGCTCCCTGCTGGGCCTGTCAGAATAGAGGCTGGGTGTGGTTTAAACTTACCCAACCTATCGTTGGCGCTCAGGCTGGTCCCAGACCCTTCGCGCTTCACTGTTGCCGGGCATTAGTTGTTATCTTTACAACTTGTCTCGAGTCAGCAACCTCAGACATAGTTTGTTCTTCTTCATTGTAGCAGTACACATGTCCTTGAGCAGTTTAACAAAGAGGCAGTGTGTGTGTGAGTCACAAGCCTATCTCAGCCTACCCCCTAACGGTTCCTCACATTAATCACAGCTTGTTATGTTAAACAATCTATATCAGTACAGCACAAACCTATTATGTTTAATCATTAATGTATTCTTTCTAAGCCAGGCATCACATCTAGTTGTAAGAGAATAGATCCCAACACATGGTTATCACAGTCAGAGGCATATCTGTTTCCCGACCAGGCCTAGACCGTTATGTAACTGAATAGTTAAGTTAGTGCTTTTTCAGTGACACTGCATCATCCCTATTGCTTTACCCTACAATGACACCAGGCCCACTATTCCAGTCGCTGATCTCCCCCTGCAATGTGAATCAAATGTTAGACTGCTCTAATTACAGTGCTATGTAATTCCTTTTTGACCCACAGCAAAAGGAAAGGAACCTGAGCGACCAGTTGATGCTAAAGTCAATAGAGGTGGGTACCACACTACTTCTTCCCTGAAATGATGAATTTCAGTGATCTGCTGCTGCTGCCTGACGTTTCATTTTTGAGAAGACCTGAAAATAGAGGAAGCCCCTTGTTGGATGTTCTTTGAAAGCAGTCAAGTGCCTCTTTAGTTACAGTGTTCTGTTTACTCACACTTTTTTGTGGGTACCGGTATTTCCCTCTGAGCTTTCCCTTTTGAATCATTCTTCCTAATTGTATTTGTATTTATCTCTGTAAATATTCAGAGAGAATGTATTGATTTAGGTAATAAGATGCATGCACTGAGTTTAGAAAACATTAAGAACACCTGCTCTTTCCATGACATAGACTGACCAGGTGAATCCAGGTGAAAGCTATGATCCCTTATTGATGTCACTTGTTAAATCCACTTCAATCAGTGTAGCTGAAGGGGAGGAGACAGGTAAAGTAGGATTTATAAGCCCTGAGACAATTGAGACATGGATTGTGTATGTGTGCCATTCAGAGGGTGAATGGGAAAGACACAAAATTGAAGTGTCTTTGAACGGGGTATGGTAGTAGGTGCCTGGTGCACCGGTTTGTGTCAAGAACTGTAATGCTGCTGTGTTCTTCACGCGCAACAGTTTCCCGTGTGTATCAAGAATGGTCCACAAAGAACATCCCAAAGAACATCCAGCCAACTTGACACAACTGTGGGAAGCATTGGAGTCGACATGGGCCAGCATCCCTGTGGAACGCTTTCGAAACCTTGTAGAGTCAATTCAATATTAGGAAGGTGTTCCTAATGTTTGGTATACTCAGTGTACAGTGAGGGAAAAAAGTGTTTGATCTCCTCCTGATTTTGTACGTTTGCCCACTGACAAAGAAATGATCAGTCTATAATTTTAATGGTAGGTTTATTTGAACAGTGAGAGACAGAATAACAACAACAACATCCAGAAAAACGCATGTCAAAAATGTTATAAATTGATTTGCATTTTAATGAGGTAAATAAGTATTTAACCCCTCGGCAAAACATGACTTAGTACTTGGTGGCAAAACCCTTGTTGGCAATCACAGAGGTCAGACGTTTCTTGTAGTTGGCCACCAGGTTTGCACACATCTCAGGAGGGATTTGGTTCCACTCCTCTTTGCAGATCTTCTCCAAGTCATTAAGGTTTGGAAGCTGACGTTTGGCAACTCGAACCTTCAGCTCCCTCCACAGATTTTCTATGGGATTAAGGTCTGGAGACTGGCTAGGCCACTCCAGGTCCTTAATGTGCTTCTTCTTGAGCCACTCCTTTGTTGCCTTGGCCGTGTGTTTTGGGTCATTGTCATTATGGAATACCCATCCACGACCCATTTTCACCCAATATTTGACAGTACATTGCCCCGTCCATCGTCCCTTTGATGCGGTGAAGTTGTCCTGTCCCCTTAGCAGAAAAACACCCCCAAAGCATAATGTTTCCACCTCCATGTTTGACGGTGGGGATGGTGTTCTTGGGGTCATAGGCAGCATTCCTCCTCCTCCAAACACAGCGAGTTGAGTTGATGCCAAAGAGCTCGATTTTGGTCTCATCTGACCACAACACTTTCACCCAGTTCTCCTCTGAATCATTCAGATGTTCATTGGGAAACTTCAGACGGGCATGTATATGTGCTTTCTTGAGCAGGGGGACCTTGCGGGCGCTGCAGGATTTCAGTCCTTTACGGCGTAGTGTGTTACCAATTGTTTTCTTGGTGACTATTACATTTACATTTTTGTCATTTAGCAGACGCTCTTATCCAGAGCGACTTACAGTTAGTGAGTGCATACATTATTATTTGTATTTATTTTTCATACTGGCCTCCCGTGGGAATCGAACCCACAACCCTGGCGTTGTAAACGCCATGCTCTACAAACTGAACTACATCCCTGCCGGCCATTCTCTCCCCTACCCTGGGCCAATTGAGCGCCGCCCCATGGGTCTCCCGGTCGCGGCCGGCTACGACAGAGCCTGGACTCTAGTGGCACAGCTAGCACTGTGATGCAGTGCCTTAGATCACTGCGCCACTCGGGAGACTATGGTCCCAGCTGCCTTGAGATCATTGACAAGATCCTCCCGTGTAGTTCTGGGCTGATTCCTCACCGTTCTCATGATCATTGCAACTCCACGAGGTGAGATCTTGCATGGAGCCCCAGGCCGAGGGAGATTGACAGGTCTTTTGTTTCTTCCATTTGCGAATAATCGCACCAACTGTTGTCACCTTCTCACCAAGCTGCTTGGCGATGGTCTTGTAGCCCATTCCAGCCTTGTGTAGGTCTACAATTTTGTCCCTGACATCCTTGGAGAGCTCTTTGGTCTTGGCCATGGTGGAGAGTTTGGAATCTGATTGATTGATTGCTTCTGTGGACAGGTGTCTTTTATACAGGTAACAAGCTGAGATTAGGAGCACTCCCTTTAAGAGTGTGCTCCTAATCTCAGCTCGTTAACTGTATAAAAGACACCTGGGAGAAAGAAATCTTTCTGATTTGAGAGGGGGTCAAATACTTATTTCCCTCATTAAAATGCAAATCAATTTATAAAATGTTTTTCTGGATTTTTCTTGTCTCTCACTGTTCAAATAAACCTACCATTAAAATTATAGACTGATCATGTCTTTGTCAGTGGGCAAACGTACAAAATCAGCAGGGGATCAAATACTTTTTTCCCTCACTGTATATCAGGCAGTAATTGTATCCGAAGTTGAGACTTTAAAGTGTTGGGTTTAAGAGTTGTTAGCAGTGAAGCAGTGACCTTTTTAGTAAGTTTAAACTCCCACTCTCCACACCCCAGTGTTAAAAAAAAAAGATAAAAGGTCACAGCACCCTCTGTTCTTTAACTGGACACATTCATGTACTGGATCACTACAGACTTCAGTTAAAGTGTCGTTTTTCAGGCCCTTAACATAGGTTGTGGGTTTCTGTCATCTAGAAAGTTAAGCCTACATTGAATGTATTGATCAAAGGCATTAAGATACCTCTTTTTTTTTTTCAACCATCCTCCTCTCCTCCTCCCCTGTAGCCCCAGCCCCGGTAGCCCCAGCGAGCCCCCAGTCCCCATCTCTGAGCCTCTGGAACCACCATGCCATCCTGGAGGCAGCGGGGCCCAGCCATGTGGCTATCAATGCCATCTCTGCCAACATGGACTCCTTCGCCCGCGGACGCACAGCAATCCTCAAGAAACAGCCCATCCACATGGAGGCTGCACACTTTGGGGATCTGGGTATGTACCTCCAGTCCTCCACTGATTTGTCTTTGTTTTCAGGGCCCGTATTAACAAGCGTTTCAGAGTAGGAGTGCTGATCTAGGATTAGGTCACCCCTCTTATTCATTATGATTGAAAAGGCAAAACTGGTGATTTAGAGTGATTTGAATGGATGAGCTCTTATACTTTAAGTTCTCTCCTTTTGACTGGATCGTGTGTGCCCATCTTTGAGTGAGTTGATACAATGTGATAATGGTGGCTAGTGGACATGGTGCTGGTGTGTTTAACTGCCAACGGGCAAGGCTAATCCTGCGAAGCACTCGCTCCAGCTTCATGCATGGGTTAGCCTTTTGACCAACCAGCACGCTACCAGAAAGCTTTTTAGTATGATGCGTAAGTATGGCCCAGAGTTTTTCCTGAGTGAACACATGGCCTGGTAAAACTCCTGGTCCTACTTATAATTAGTGTGTGGTACTGAGAAGCATGCTGTGCCCTAAGTATGATACATAAGAACTCCCTAAATCTTCTTCCCTCTGAAGATGTAGGCTATTTAAATCAAGCATTTCATTAGTGGGTGGATATCAGGTGCTAGTTTTTATAGTGCTACAGCAGCCATCTACACCAGTATTGTTTATGATAATGGTGAGTGACAACACCTGCTGGGACAGATCCTTTAGTTACCGGTGACGGTGAGTCAGAGGGAGGGGGTGGTAGAACCAGTGGTGCATCATTGAGCCCTGGCTTGGGAATGCAGTAGAGTAGGGTGACTATACTACAGTGCATTCTGAAAGTATTCAGACCCCTTGACCTTTTCCACATTTCGTTACGTTACAGCCTTATTCTAAAATGGATTAAATTTAAAAAAATGTCCTTCTCAATCTACACACAATACCCCATAATGACTAAGGGCAACATAACATTTTTGGGGTGTGCAAATTTATTAAAAATAAAATACAGAAATACCTTATTTACAGAAGTATTCAGACCCTTTGCTATGACACTCGAAATTGAGCTCAGGAGCATCCTGTTTCTATTGATCATCCTTGAGATGTTTCTACAACTTGTTTGGAGTCTATCTGTTGTAAATTCAATTGATTGGACATGATTTGTGCTAAATGACTAAAATGTAAATTTGTAAAGGTGCACACCTGTCTATATAAGGTCCCACAGTTGACAGTGCATGTCAGAGCAAAAATCAAGCCATGAGGTCGAAGGAATTGTCCGTAGAGCTCCGAAACAGGATTGTATCTCGGCACAGCTATGGGGAAGGGTACCAAAACATGTCTGCAGCATTGAAGGTCCCCAACAACACAGTAGCCACTATCATTCTTAAATGGAAGTAGTTTGGAACCACCAAGACTCTTCCTAGAGCTGGCCGCCCAGCCAAACTGAGCAATCGGGGGAGAAGGGCCTTGGTCAGGGAGGTGACCAAGAACCCGATGGTCACTCTGATAGAGCTCCAGAGTTCCTCTGTGGAAATAGGAGAACCTTCCAGAAGGACAACCATCTCTGCAGCACTCCAGATGGAACCCACTCCTCAGTAAAAGGCACAAGACAGCCCGCTTGGAGTTTGCCAAAAGGCACCTAAAGGACTCTGACCATGAGAAACAAGATTCTCTGGTCTGATGAAACCAAGATTTAATGCTAAGCGTCACGTCTGGCGGGAACCTGGCACCATCCCTATGGTGAAGCGTGGCGGCAGCAGCATTCTGTGGGGATGTTTTTCAGCGGCAGGGACTGGGAGACTAGTCAGGATCAAGGGAAAGATGAACGGAGCAAAGTACAGAGAGATCGTTGATGAAAACCTGCTCCAGAGAAGCTCAGGACCTCAGACTGGGTCAAAGGTTCACCTTCCAACAGGACTACAACCCTTTGCACACAGCCAAGACAACGCAGGAGTGGCTTCGGGACAAGTCTCTGAATGTCCTTGAGTGGTCCAGCCAGAGCCCAGACTTGAACCCAATCGAACATCTCTGGAGAGACCTGAAAATAGCTGTGCAGCGACGCTCCCCATCCAACCTGACAGAGCGTGAGAGGATTTGCAGAGAAGAATGGGAGAAACTCCCCAAATACAGGTGTGCCAAGCTTGTAGCGTCACACCCAAGAAGACTTGAGGCTGTAATTGCTGCCAAAGGCTCACTGTTTAGTGCTCCTACTTTAGTCCATTATGTAATGGAGGCCTCCAGCCAAGCTTCAGTCATTCATTCATATCGCCTCTCTGATCATGTGACCCAGGAACTGTGCCGTAGTTGAATAGGTTTTTTAAATAGATTTTTTTATAAGTATTCTCTTTTGTTATTAATGATTGTGTATGGTGTTAGTGGTTTTATTCAGAATGCTGTGGTTGTTTAGGCCGGGTTACTTTTAAAGACTTTGTGAGAACTGCTGATGTAAAAAGGGCTTTATAATGACATTTGATTGATTGGTTGATTGTGTCTTTCAGGGCGGTCCAGTGTTATCATACTGTATGGTTGTGTAGTGGTTTTATTCAGTGTTGTGTGTTTCAGGGCGCTCTAGTGTGAACTACCTGGCCTCTGAGACGCGTTCGCGCCTGTCTAAGACGGTGGATCAGATTCTGCGAGACAATGTGGCCATGCCATACTACATCCAGTTCCAGGAGGCCCGCGGGGCTGACCACCTGGTCCGCTTCTGGCTGGAGGCCGAGAGCTTTCGCTCCACCAGCTGGTCTCGGGTCCGGGCCCACAGCCTCAACTCCGTCAAACACAGCTCCCTGGCCGAGCCCGCCTCCACCCCAGTCTCCCCCGACCCCTCCTCCCCTTCAGACATGGACCTACCCTCCATCCCCAGGCCTACCTCCTCACACCCCCTTACCCCCAGCCCTCAGGACACTAACAGTAACAGTACTGAAGGCCCCACGGCGCAGCTCGTCCACAGGGACTCCTTCAGCTCTGTGGTGGACCAGAGGCCTGGCACCCCCAGCAGGGCAGACACCCCCACTAGACAGTCCTCTTACATTACAGGGACCTCCTTCAAGCTGCAGTCCACCAACGCCCTCAAGGAGCTCTCAGACAAGCTCATGAAGAGTATGTTTGACTGGTCGTAATTGTAAATAAGAATCTGTTCATAATTTACTTGTATAGATAAAGGTTAAGTAAGTAGCCTGGAGTCTCTTAGAGCTGACTGGTGGTGCATGTTTCAGAGAGACGCTATGGCTGTACTCACAATCCTTTTGTGTGTTGGGCTTGTCTTTATCATAATTTATCTATAGGCCTGCATAACACACTGACTAGAAAAGGCTAGTATATTCGCTATATTTGTTCTTATCTCCACCGTGTGAAACAACTGGCTGTCAGAATAACAACGTTAATATGTTTTAATTGCACATTGGAGGTAACAATATTTGAGTTGTACACAGTTTATGACACGTGTGACTGACTGTTAAACGTCTTCTCCTCCTCTGTTGTAGGTATAGAGAGAGATGCAGTGAACATCTTCACCAAGTACATCTCTCCAGACGCTACTAGGCCCGTCCCCATAACAGAACAGCTCAGAAACGACATAGTCGGTAAGAAATGAGTCCTGATTGCCACTTATTTGCCATTAGTATGAGACTTTGACTGTAAGACACTGCAGTCACTGTATGAGTACTGAATCAGACTGTATGAGTATTGTATCAGAACTTTGTGAGTACTGTATGCATTCCTATGAATGTTAGACCTAGTACGAATGTTGCAACCAACGTTAAAGATCAAATCAGCCGTAATCATCTCAGTATATTTAACTAGGTTTCAGGATAACTATTTTGTGGATGATTAATAATCGGTTGTGTGATTTGTGACCGTTTTTGTCCTTTTCTCCATTTTGCCAGCTAAAATCTGTGGGGAGGATGGAATGGTGGACCCAAACTGCTTCGTCATTGCACAGTCTGTTGTCTTCTCCATCATGGAACAACAGTATGTTTTTTTTGTTTTTCCAATCTTCCTGTTCTAGTATCCATTGAAAGATTGATTATTTATCATATGAGTTAATGTTAAAGTGCCAGTGTTTTTCTTTAAGGGTCTCATGATTTTTCTCCTAGGATTAAAGTTTTACCTCTGTTCTGTTATACACTAATCCACTCCTATATCATAAATGTAAATGTGACCATATATAATCTATATTTCCCAGGCACTTTAGTGAATTCTTGCGCAGCCATCATTTCTGTAAATACCAGATCGAAGTGTTGACCAGTGGCTCTGTGTTCCTGGCAGACATCTTGTTCTGTGAGTCGGCCCTCTTCTACTTCTCTGAGGTAAGAGCAACAGCTGGACCCCACAATTTATGTTACTGTTGTTCACTATTAAATATACACAACCACAGTTTATCAACTTCATTCATAGGTGTTTTACTCATTAGTGGTACTGGTGTTATTTGTTTCTATTCTGTTCTTCTCTATTATATTCTACATTAGTGTCATATGGTAGGTGTTAATAGAAGTGTCATTGGTGATAAAGCTAATATGGTGTCTGTCTGTGTGTCTCCCCAGTACATGGAGAAGGAGGACGCTGTGAATGTCCTGCAGTTCTGGCTGGCAGCAGATAACTTCCAGGACCAGCTGGCTGCTAAGGCTGGCCAGTACGACGGCCTGGAGGCCCAGAACGACGCCATGATCCTTTACGACAAGTAACGGCTCACACACATCGCACCGAATAGGGATCTAGCGTTCGTCTGCCGATCGTTCAGCGCGCTGTGTTTTAGGGACCACCCGCTATAGACGTCTGACTTACGACATTTTCACGCTATTCTACATGTAAAATCGATGCACTCTCGGTTAGCAAATTTCGGCCGGCACTCTGTTCAGAGGTATTAAGTACTCTAGGCCCGCAAACGCTATTATTAATAATAATAAATAATGTGCCATTTAGCAGACGCTTTTATCCAAAGCGACTTACAGTCATGCGTGCATACATTTCTTGTGTATGGGTGGTCCCGGGGATCGAACCCACTACCCTGGCGTTACAAGCGCCATGCTCTACCAACTGAGCTACAGAGGACCGCTATTGGTGTGCCTAAGACATCTGTCTCTTTAAACTATATTTGTCTTAACAATATCTTTGCCTCAACACTAACTTTGCCTCAACGCTATCTTTGCCTCAACACTATCTTTGCCTCAACACTATCTTTGCCTCAACACTATCTTTGCCTCAACACTATCTTTGCCTCAACACTATCTTTGCCTCAACACTATCTTTGCCTCAACACTATCTTTGCCTCAACACTATCTTTGAAAAGGAACAGTTTGGAGTTTATAGGGTAATTATTAGACCAAAGGTGAGAACACAACAGCAGTTCACCTGACACAAGACTGAATCCAAACAGCATTGTTTTATGTAGATTTATGGTTTGATATGGAAATGTCAAGTGCACATTTGCTTAAAGTTTTGCTTTGTATGACATCAAAGTGTATTATTATGATCCTCAACTTAATCTTTTCAAATACTAGTCCTCTTAATTACACGTTGAGCACTAGACAACAAACAATTTTATCCCTCAAAATTCCCAATTGACGATGTTGTTTAGTTGGCAACTTCTTTAAATGGCTGTAGTCAAAACATACAGGCTGTTGAAGCACGACAAGTAATTTAAATTATACAAACTTTGACACCAGGTCAATGTAGGCGTTACATTTGCCAATCTGCAAATTGATAACTATGATGGGTCGAGTGTAAGGCTTTACTCACATTACAACATCTTTTAGTCATACCCAGACGCTCTTACCAGAGCACTTACAGTTAGTGAGTAGCATACATTTTCATACGGCCCCGTGGAACGAACAACCTGGCGTGCAAGCGCCATGCTTACCAATGTCTACATTCAGAATGGCTGTCAGTCAAAACCCATACAGTGCTGTGAAGCACAGAGCCAAAGTTCTGACATCATGTATAGCAAAACTTTGACAGCCACTGCGTTCCAATGTAGGTGTTTATCAGTGCCCAAATCTGCAATTTTCAACCCGTATATGGGTACGAGTGTAAAGGGCTACCACCTCCACATTACATTTACATTTTAGTCATTTAGCAGACGCTCTTATCCAGAGCGACTTACAGTTAGTGAGTGCATACATTTTTCATACTGGCCCCCGTGGGAAACGAACCCACAACCCTGGCGTTGCAAGCGCCATGCTCTACCAACTGAGCTACAGGGGACATTACTCAGCCTGGCTTGTTTATTTGGGCACCAGTTTAATAATGATCTCATCTGTTTCCTCCCCAGGTATTTCTCACTCCAAGCCACCAACCCGCTGGGTTTCGATGACTCTGTACGGATGGAGATAGAGTCTAATATCTGCCGGGAGGGAGGGCCTTTACCTTACTGCTTCACCACTCCTCTCAGACAGGCGTGGACCACCATGGAAAAGGTGAGAGGTCGTAGGTCACCCAGTTACCTGGGTCAGATACATTATGTGAATATATAGGAAACACACAGGGGTCACTCACCACTGTAAAATCCACTGGAATTCAGCTAGAAAAACTAAACAAAAATTACATTTAAGTCATTACATGTCGAAATTATTTACCTTTGGGAACACCTTTAGATTGAAACCATGAGGCTTAGATGACCAGTTTGGGGTTATTGAAGGTAGGGGTACCAGAGCCATAGATATGTTTCAGTGGTACGATGTTGCCAAAGGCTAGGATGATGATTAAACACTTCGTCAGGCTCTGGAAAAAACGGAAGACCTTTGTGACAGAAAGGCATGACCCACTTGCATTTTAAAGTTTAGCTTTGCTAATATGAAGTTCATGTCATTTTTCTTCCCGCAGGTCTACATGCCAGGCTTCCTGTCGAGTAATCTTTACTACAAATATCTGAGTGACCTTATCAACTCTGTCCGAGCGGATGAGTTTGTGCTCGCCAGCGCTTCTGGTCAAGGCGTGGCCTCGGACGGTGACCGCAGCACCAATGCCACTGAGGGGTCTCAAGCCCAGGTAGATAACCCCACACCTAACCTGCTCACAGCCTGTACTTTCTCTTTACCTCTACTGGCATTTTTCTCTTCTCATCAGATATTTAGAGAAGTTTGTCTAAGTACACTCAAATCAATTATGTTCAACAGCAGTAGCACTCATACCTTTGTTCAATAGTCTGTGGGTATTAATTTGTTTACAAAACGTAAATATATTCATTAATGGATTGATATTCCCTCTAGTTCTGCTCTAAATGTGCAAATTATTTTATATTTTTTCGTTTACAGCAAGGTGCCAAAAAGGAGGCAGCAATAAAAATCCTGAAAAACTTTGACGAGGCGATAACAGTGGACATAGCCAGCTTGGACCCAGAGTCCCTGTACCAGCGCCCCTACGCTGGGTGAGTCTCTGCATAGCAGCCTCAGGCCTTCTTAGTTATATATTCTCACCACTCCAAGTACAGTCACCTCAAATGGCTCTGTAAACGACATTACTATTTCAAATATTTGATTTGGTGTTTTCATGTTTCTCTACTGGACAAAATGAGTGAAAATTGTTTTTATAATTGTGCAAAATTTCCCCCATAGCTACCCATCAACTGTCCTGAATTTACTACTGTAATTTTCCCAAGAGAGTTCTTTGATGCTAGCTAAGTAGGCCAGTATGTAATGACCATTGATGTGTGACTAAACCGCTCCAAATACATATTTTCAAAGACTACCATGCAGTCCTCAGTGTGACATGGCAGATTTGTAGGTCATCCCCATTACATTACAATCAGCTCTGATAGAAGTCTAATGGCCCAACACAGGCTCATGTAGGAGATGTGTGTGGCCTTAGGCAGCCCGGGTAGTGTCCTAGTTGCAGTAAGAGATTAGCTTGGTCCCAGATCTGTTTGTGCTGGGACCAAATGACATTGACTATTAGGAGTTGGCTATACAGCACAAACTGATCTGGGACCAGGCTTGTAACAGGGTTTCTGTCTCCATAAACATCCTATATGTATGACTTCATTGGCTATGTCCCCTCACTGTTCAGAAGAATGACGTTTGGGAAAGTCAACGAGCTGGGCCAGTTTATCAGGGAGGCCGAACCAGAACCGGATGTGAAGAAATCCAAAGGTAACAGACAAACACTAATGTAACAATTCTATATAGGCTATACAGTGCCTTCAGCAAGTATTCATAACCCTTGACTTATTCTACATTCTGTTGTGTTACAGCCTGAATTCAAAATGTATTAAATCTTTTTTTCTCACCCATCAACACACAATAAAATACTCCATAATGACCAAGTGAAAACATGTTTTTAGAAATGTTTGCAAATGTATTGAAAATGAAATACTGAAATATCTAATTTACGTAAGTATTCATATCCCTTTGCTATGACACTCAACTTGATTGGAGTCCACCTGTGGCCAATTCAATTCTTTGGACATGATTTAGAAAGAAACACACCTGTCTATATAAGGTTCCACAGTTGACAGTGAATGTCAGAGCAGAAACTATACCATGAAGTCCAAGGAACTGTCCATAGATCTCCGAGATAGAATTGTGATGAGGGATATATCTGGGGAAGGGTATAAAACAATTTCTAGAGTGTTGAAAGTTTCCAAGAGCACAGTGGTCTCCATGATTGGGAAATGGAAAAATATGGAACTACCCAGACTCTGCCTAGAGCTGGCCGTCCGACCAAATTGAGCAACCGGGCAAGAAGACCTTGGTCAGGGAGGTGACCAAGAACCCAAAGACCACTCTGACAGAACTACAGAGTTCCTTGGCTGAGCTGGGAGAACCTGCCAGACGGACAACAGTCTCTACAGCACTTCACCAATCTAGGCTTTATGGGAGAGTGACCAGACAGAAGCCACTCCTGAGAAAAAGGCACATGACAGCTCACCTGGAGTTTGCAAAAAGGCACGTGAAAGACTGAGAGCATAAGGCAAAATATTATGTGGTCTGATGAGACAAAAATGTAACTCTTTGGCCTGAATGCAAAGTGCTATGTCTGGAGAAAACCAGGCACAGCTCATCACCCTACTGTGAAGTATGGTGGAGGCAGCATCATGCTATGGGGATATTTTTCAGTGGCAGGGACTGGGAGACTGGTAAGGATAGATGGAACAATGAATGGAGCCAAATACAGGCAAATCCTTGATGAGAACCTGCTTCAGATTGCAAACGACCTTAGACAGTGAAGAGGCGACTCCGGGATGCTGACCTTCTAGGCAGAGTTGCAAAGAAAAAGCCATATCTCAGACTGGCCAATAAAAATAAAATAAGATGAGTCTGAGATATGGCTTTTTCTTTGCAACTCTGCCTAGAAGGTCAGCATCCCAGAGTCGCCTCTTCACTGTTGACGTTGAGACTGGTGTTTTGCGGTTACTATTTAATGAAGCTGCCAGTTGAGGACCTGTGAGGCGTCTGTTTCTCAAACTAGACACTCTAATGTATTTGTCCTCTTGCTCACTTGTGCACCGGGGGCCTCCCACTCCTCTTTCTATTCTGGTTAGAGCCAGTTTGCGCTGTTCTGTGAAGGGAGTAGTACACAGCATTGTACGAGATCTTCAGTTTCTTGGCAATTTCTCGCATGGAATAGCCTTCATTTCTCAGAACAAGAATGGACTGATGAGTTTCAGAAGAAAGTTATTTGTTTCTGGCCATTTTGAGCCTGTAATCGAACCCACAATTGCTGATGCTCCAGATACTCAACTAGTCTCAAGAAGGCCTTATTTAATCAGCACAACAGTTTTCAGCTATGCTAACATAATTGCAAAAGGGTTTTCTAATGATCAATTAGCCTTTTAAAATGATAAACTTGGATTAGCAAACACAACGTGCCATTGGAACACAGGACTGATGGTTGCTGATAATGGTCCTCTGTACGCCTATGTAGATAGATATTCCATTAAAAATCAGCCGTTTCCAGCTACAATAGCCATTTACAACATTAACAATGTCTACACTGTATTTCTGATCAATTTGATGTTATTTTAATGGACATTTCTAAGTGACCCCAAACCTTTGAACAGAAGTGTGTATGTATGTATGTATGTATGTGTATATATATATATATATATATATATATATATATATATATATATATTATTTCCTAATATTGAGTTGCCCCCCCCCCCCCCCCCCCCCCCCCCCCCTTTGCCCTCAGAACAGCCTTAATTTGTCGGGGCATGGACTCTACAAGGTGTCGAAAGCATTCCCACAGTTGTGTCAAGTTGGCTAGATGTCCTTTGGGTGGTGGACCAGTCTTGATACACACGGAAACTGTTGAGCGTGAAAAACTATTAGCGTTGCAGTTCTTGACACAAACCGGTGCGCCTGGCACCTACTACAATACCCTGTTCAAAGGCACTTAAGTATTTTGCCTTGCCCATTCAGCCTCTGAATGCTTATTTAACCTGTCTCCTCCCCTTCATCTACACTGATTGAAGTGGATTTAACAAGTGACATCAAAAAGGGATCATAGCTTTCACCTGGTCAGTCTGTGTCATGGAAAGAGCAGGTGTCCTTAATGTTTTGTACACTCAGTGTATATACAGTGAGGGAAAAAAGTATTTGATCCCCTGCTGATTTTGTATGTTTGCCCACTGATAAAGAAATTATCAGTCTATAATTTTAATGGTAGGTTTATTTGAACAATGAGAGACAGAATAACAACAACAAAATCCAGAAAAACACATGTCAAAAATGTTATAAATTGATTTGCATTTTAATGAGGGAAATAAGTATTTGACCCCCTCTCAGAGAGATTTCTAGCTCCCAGGTGTCTTTTATACAGTTAACGAGCTGAGATTAGGAGCACACTCTTAAAGGGAGTGCTCCTAATCTCAGTTTGTTACCTGTATAAAAGACACCTGTCCACAGAAGCAATCAATCAAGCAGATTCCAAACTCTCCACCATGGTCAAGACCAAAGAGCTCTCCAAGGATGTCAGGGACAAGATTGTAGACCTACACAAGGCTGGAATGGGCTACAAGACCAATCGCCAAGCAGCTTGGTGAGAAGGTTACAACAGTTGGTGTGATTATTCGCAAATGGAAGAAACACAAAAGAACGGTCAATCTCCCTCGGCCTGGGGCTCCATGCAAGATCTCACCTCGTGGAGTTGCAATGATCATGAGAACGGTGAGGAATCAGCCCAGAACTACACGGGAGGATCTTGTCAATGATCTCAAGGCAGCTGGGACCATAGTCACCAAGAAAACAATCGGTAACACACTACGCCGTGAAGGACTGAAATCCTGCAGCGCCCGTAAGGTCCCCCTGCTCAAGAAAGCACATATACAGGCCGGTCTGAAGTTTGCCAATGAACATCTGAATGATTCAGAGAACTGGGTGAAAGTGTTGTGGTCAGATGAGACCAAAATCGAGCTCTTTGGCATCAACTCAACTCGCCGTGTTTGGAGGAGGAGGAATGCTGCCTATGACCCCAAGAACACCATCCTCACCGTCAAACATGGAGGTGGAAACATTATGCTTTGGGGGTGCTTTTCTGCTAAGGGGACAGGACAACTTCACCGCATCAAAGGGACGATGGACGGGGCCATGTACTGTCAAATCTTGGGTGAGAACCTCCTTCCCTCAGCCAGGGCATTGAAAATGGGTCGTGGATGGGTATTCCAGCATGCCAATGACCCAAAACACACGGCCAAGGCAACAAAGGAGTGGCTCAAGAAGTAGCACATTAAGGTCCTGGAGTGGCCTAGCCAGTCTCCAGACCTTAATCCCATAGAAAATCTGTGGAGGGAGCTGAAGGTTCGAGTTGCCAAACGTCAGCCTCGAAACCTTAATGACTTGGAGAAGATCTGCAAAGAGGAATGGGACAAAATCCCTCCTGAGATGTGTGCAAACCTGGTGGCCAACTACAAGAAACGTCTGACCTCTGTGATTGCCAACAAGGGTTTTGCCACCAAGTACTAAGTCATGTTTTGCAGAGGGGTCAAATACTTATTTCCCTCATTAAAATGCAAATCAATTTATAACATTTTTGACATGCTTTTTTCTGGATTTTTTTGTTGTTATTCTGTCTCTCACTGTTCAAAAAAACCTACCATTTAAAATTATAGACTGATCATGTCTTTGTCAGTGGGCAAACGTACAAAATCAGCAGGGGATCAAATACTTTTTTCCCTCACTGTATGTCTGTCCCTGTCCTGTCTGTCTCTCTCTCACTCTTAGCTCTTTCTCTCTACTGTTCATTGTTGCTTGTATGGGTTTAGTGCCATGTCACTCAGGCATGAATGGTGAGGGTATTGCCTTCTATTCTTATCCTAACCCCAACCAGAAAGTGGGTTGAAAAATGTGAGGCACCCCAAATACAACCCAAGGTGCTTCTAGATCTTATAAAAGACTACACAGTATAACATTAATCTATTATTTAGGATTTCTTAGAAGAGAACATTCTCTGATCCATATAAGTCCTGGACTAAACATTTTTTTACTAGATTTCATGGCTCAAATCACAAACCAGCTATTCCAGGCCTTGGTTTCCACCAAATGCATACATCGCATTCTAAGATAATTCTGTTCTGTGATATATTTTTCATGTATCTCATATGTCCAGTAGCTTACAGAGGAGCAATAGATAAGAGGCTCGTCCTCTGACTATTGCCCTATTTCTCTCTCTCTTCTCCTCTCACAGGTTCCATGCTCTCTCTAGCCATGAAGAAACTTGTTCAAGGCAACTCTGATGAGGTGTGTAAACCAACAAAACAAACTCCTCTTGTGTTGAATCTGTTTGAACTAACAAACAATAGGATTGATGAACACTTTGAATCGTAACGTGTGTGTTTAGGCCCAGGAGGAGATGGCCTGGAAGATCGCTAAGATGATCGTCAATGACGTCGTACACCAGGCGCACCACGACAGTCCTGGCAAATCCACCAAGGTAAGTCAGTCTGCCTCAATCTACAACATGGTGGACCCTTGATAAGTACACTGCACATCGGATAAGTACAAACTCTGTTTTAGTGCATTGCAGACAATTCACCAGGCCCAATTTCAATGAATGCCTTGTAATTGTTCCGGATATCTGTATGCTCTGGTTTCCTATTCATGACAGTTCAAAGCCATTGCATTTGTCTGGCACTGTAGTCAACTATATATAATAACTCCTGACCCGTGACAAGTTTACTGTTGTTTGATGATGCCTCCCGAGTGGCGCAGTGGTCTAAGGCACTGCATCGCAGTGCTAGCTGAGCCACTAGAGATCCTGGTTCGAATCCAGGCTCTGTCGTAGCCGGCCGCGACCGGGAGACCCATGGGGCGGCGCACAATTGGCCCAGCGTCGTCCAGGGTAGGGGAGGGAATGGCCGGCAGGGATGTAGGTCAGTTGGTAGAGCATGGCGTTTGCAACACCAGGGTTGTGGGTTCGATTCCCACGGGGGGGTATAAAAAAAATAAATAAAAATGTATGCACTCACTAACTGTAAGTCGCTCTGGATAAGAGCGTCTGCTAAATGACTAAAATGTAAATGATTGTCCGTGTTTCATTGTCAATCTCTCTCCCCAGTTATGAGCCTCCTGTGGAGAACCAAATGATTGTCACTCCCCTTGTCCCTCACCCTATCCAGACAGACTGACAGACAAACGCATCACCTAGTCCAGTGATTAACTGTACTCTGGATTTACCTTACGATGAAACGCATCAATGGAGATCGAAGAACAAAGGCATTCCATGATCTCCTGCATCAACTTGTACCGGTGTTTGTGTCTGTGCGTGTGTGAGTATATGTGCGTGAGCGAAAAACTTGAAGTATATCATCCATCCATCCTTCCAACTGGTCGTAACACTTTGAAGGCATCTATGAACAAATTATGAGGAAAAAGTAAAACAAAGAGCACCAGAGGACCAGACTTCCTTCCAGAACAAATTCCCTAGGGAAGGAGAGCTGGCAAACGACAAACTATGACACAAAATGGTGCTGAACGGGAGCTGTCAGAAGAAGCAGCACTTCAGAAAGCATCGGTACTGCCGTGGTCACCTCTGTTACCATGCCATCCAAGAGGGGGCCTGCAGGGACCTGAAGCATCCTTCACAAAGCGATCACTAAGATGATTAGGTTGTCCACTCCCCTCTCTTGATTCCTGCACATTGTCTCTCCTTACACCACCACCCATTGCCCTTATGCCCATTCCTTATTTCTGGTTTTTAAATGAAATCTCTTTGAAAGGGTTCAGAGTGACTCTTACAATTTTAACAGATGGAATTCATCAGTTGGTGCTTTGTACAGTTTTTATTTGCGACTTTTATTTGGGCCCTCCTGGAGTATTGTCAGTGGGGTGGGTTACTATGATGATATGATGAGTCGGGTTGAGTTGTCCTGCCCTCCTGGCTGTGCCCTAATGTACTGTAGAGGGCTGGTCAGACATGTTACAGTCAAACTGGAATGGACCATATTGATTTCCCGGTCTAGCTTAACCGCCTGTAGCTCTAGCGCTGGCCCCATGTCCATATCATTACAGAGCATAGACAAATGCATAAATACTCCTTATTGTGGACTGAGGAAGTGCTACAGTTGCAATGAAAGAACAACTCCATGCCACTCCATATAATGTTATACATATGTAGAGTTCTCTTTAACCCCTATATATTCATGTTAGTTATTTTTTATGGTGATTGTTGACGTTTTCTTTTTTTGTATGTACTGTCAAAAGCAATGTCTAAGCAAATATCAATGACAAATGTTCCATTGGAAAGTCTTTGAATATAATGTTAATATTGTTATGATTTGAACCTCATTGAGATGGGTGGAAAAGGACCAGAAAGACTCTTGGTACTATGTACCACTAATATTGTTTTTGTGACATATGTGTACTTAATCTATAATATATTTAAATTGTGTTGGATTTATATACTGTGTGTGTATGTATGTATGTATGTATGTATGTATGTATGTATGTATGTATGTATGTATGTTTTTTATTTTTATTAAGCAGAGTACTAGAAGGAACAGAAGTGCTGCCACTGATGGAAAATGATAGAATTCCTCTTTGCACGAAATGCAGTCTTGTCTGCCACCAAACATAGGGATGTATTTGGCTCCATATCAGTCATCATTAGCTTGTTGGCTGGTCTTAGTTTGTGGCAAACACGTTCTTAATTGCACTTGGGTATTTAACCTCTAGCATTGCCAGATAATGATGCAACCTGTAATTCAGCAAATTAGTGCTCATCCCAGTGCAGTGTTTCAAGTGTGTGGTTGGCTTTTGAATAAGTTCAGAGAGATGCTGCAGTTTTATGCATCAAAATTATGTTTTATCCCCATTTTATGTTGTACAGTATGAAAGACTGTTGTAAATATTTTATGGCTATAGTACAATAACTTTTCTGCCTATATTGTAGCTAAAGTAGGTTTAAAACAACAAAATTCGATTTATCTTGTTGCAATGCCGTTTAACCAGTGGGGGGCAATGTGGACTGTATTGTAACGTTAATGAGCAAGATAAATGTTTATCTAACTACGAATGATCAGCAATAATCAAGTATGTAATATTCAGTGATTTTGATTTTGTTTAAACGAAGAAAAAAAAGACGTATTTTCCAATAATTAAGTACTGTATTATACTGTACATATTCTTTCCTCTTGTTTCCAATAGACAATTGCAGTAAAATATGGGCACATTTGCTTATTTTTGGTAATGTGTAATCGTGATGGTTTAATATCACTTTCATTTAAAATTGATATCCTAAGCAACATGAGGACACAAGGGAAGGTTTACAACATTTTTCATGATGGGGATACGCCCACTTGGGTATTCTCAGCGCGCAATAACGCGCGCGCCAATGTGGAGACTTTTGTTGTATTGCCTGCTGGTTATCACGCTTAACAAAAACCACGGCTTCTCCTGCTGAGCAAAAAGCGCGGCGACTCAAATACCGGACCTATAAAGAGAAAGTGCAACACTAACCATATGTTTCCTTTTTCATCTCGTGCGTAAAATTCGATTTAAGATCATTTTTGATAGTTCCAGACGGCGACCATCTACGGACTGACAGTTGCGTATCTGTGTCTCGGCTGCGTGTGACAAACATATCTAATGTCCTGCGGTGACTCACATTTCTATGTTCTCAAGTATAGTCGCGGATAGCCTATTTAAAGTAGACATTACTTATTGTTGAGGTGGCAGCTTGTTTACCTAGACGTGCTCATGTTTGACTCTTTTATGAAATCCCGAGCCGATGTTTAGGTCACTGGAATATCCCTTTAAATAATCATCTTTACGGATAAGAAATTGTTAACTATTTCTGTTGGTGTAATATTTGTTGGGGGAGAGCTTCAGCTGATCTCTTCGGGGTGTGTGAGCTCCAAATGCATTCATTGCTGGATCGGAAGAAGAAAGAAGCCGGGGTTGGGATCGATCTGTCTCCGAGCTACTCGTTGCCCCAAGCTGCGAGGATGTTCAGCTGTGTGGGCTGCTTTTGGGTCCTCCTGTCCTCTGCTCTGGTAGCTATCTGTAGTTTCAGTTTTATATCTCCTGCGTGGATTGTCAAGGACCATCTGAAAAACAAGGACTCGGTGAGCTTCGGTTTACTTTGGCACTGCTCGGAGTCCCTGGACCATATGTACAGATGCTACACCTTCGGAGGACTCGGAAAATTCGCGGAGATCCCGTCCAGCTCGTGGCAGGTATGGAATTCACTGACCATACATGCAATAGGCTTCTTGAATGGATGTGTTATGGTAACAATTTAGTAAATAGTGTTGCATACAATCGTAACACTGTTTATTACATTGCTATTACATCCAAAATCCTCAGTGGAATACATGTTCATGATGTATGTGATGTGCACAATCAATGATACACCTTTGCCTTATAAGGCCGTTCATAATTGAGGGAGGACTTGAAGTAGATTCATGACAGCTCCTGCATCGCTGTCTTGAGTGTTTTCAGTGACGTTAGTGTTGTGGATGATGGACATGGCAGCATGCACAATCAATAAGATTGAACTAAAGTCATTAGGTGTTGTTTAAAGCTGATAAGGTCAACCGGTTTTATTGAATTAGTTATGTTAGGATGAAAGGTCCAGGCTCCTTGCCCCACTCAGGTGAGAACTTGAAAAAGCTGAGGTTGTGGATTAAAAGAATGCTTAGGGATTTTGGCAATGAGGCCCCTTATCTACTTTCCCAGAGTCAGATGAAGTCATTGATACCATTTTTATGTCTGTGTGGTTTGAAGTAAGTTTCTAACTAGTGTTAGCGCAACGGCTAACTAGCGTTAGCCCAATGACTGCTTGTCTATGCTAGCAAATAAACTCCTGAGTGGCGCAGTGGTCTAAGGCACTGCATCGCAGTGCAAACTGTGCCACTAGAGATCCTGGTTCGAATCCAGGCCGGCCGCAGCCGGCCGCGACCGGGAGACCCATGGGGCGGCGCACAATTGGCCCAGCGTCGTCCAGGGTAGGGGAGGGAATGGCCGGCAGGGATGTAGCTCAGTTGATAGCGCATAGGTTGATAGGGTTGTGGGTTCGTTTCCCACGGGGGGCCAGTATAAAAAAAAAAAATGTGTTCACTAACTGTAAGTCGCTCTGGATAAGAGCGTCTGCTAAATGACTAAAATGTAAATGTAAATACCCATAGACTTCCAGTTATTGTGCTAATGCTGGTTATCATTTGCTCGCAAAACTACCTCTAACTTCCTTCATACTGGACACAGACACATAAAAATGGTATCCACGAGTTCATCTGATTCTGGGGATGATAAAGGGCCTCATTGCCAAAATCCCGAAGTATCCCATTAACCTTCCTCAACAACATGGATGGAGAGGGGTCTTGTGCCATCAGTGTTTACCCAGACGGGTTAATGTGGGCAAGTGTTTGGCACCATATCTGGCCAATATCTGGGTTTCTATTCTGCCACTATTAGGTACAACTTTACTAAACAGAGGTAGTACAGTACACTCAGGGAGGGGTAGCTATGATCGTGATGAACCATAATACTGGCAATAAGGACCTTGTCATTTCTTATGTTACTTATCACTATTTATTATTAAGGTGTTTGTTGGCGATAAGGGGGACTGGGCTAGGGTTAGCATGGCTGTTGAGTGAGAATACATTATTGTGTGACTAATGTGCTCTCACATCACATATTCTTCCACCTACAGTCAGTAGGCTTGTTTCTTTATCTCATAGGATAAATGGTCACAGAACTACTGCCATGCGTAGACCCAGAAACTGCAGGCTTCATTACTGGATACAATTTCAGTTTTTCCTATTCAGAATATGAATGCTTTGATTTGACAAAGCATAGCGTAGTGCTTTATTTAATACTGTCATTAATGGGTCACAAACTGTGAGGGCGATAGAGGCTCTCGCTCCTCTTGTTAAAGAGCTTATGCCAATCTTAATTTATTAACAGTTATGCACTTTTGAAAACGCTTCAACAATCATAAACCTTCAGTCTGTAAACACCCAAAATCTGTCAGAAAAAGCATTATTATTCAACATTTTAAAGTCCATTCAATGCAGAAGGGCATGTACTAAGAAAAGACTGGGGTACATTAATGACAGCGAGCTATGGGACCATGTGTCAAATGAAATCAACAAGAGATTTCACTGAGGCTGGCTAAGTGACTATGTTGGATAAGTCCCCGGCAAATTGAATTAGTGATTATGTAAGTTATCTCATTTGCAACTCTGAGACTGGGGCAGCCAGAAGAATGGGGCCCCCCAGGAGTCCAGTTGCATCGCTCCAGCATTCCTGTAGAGCTGTCCAGTGCATCTTTTCATTCTAGATTAGAAAGAGCAGACTAGACCTCCTACCATGCTGTAAAACCCCCTAGCTGCAATACCCCACCAGCTACCTCAGGAGTTATGATTATGTATGAGGAGGAGAAATTAACATTTGAAAGGGAGATAGATACACTATATATACAAAAGTATCCACATGTATGTGGACACCCCTTCAAATGAGTGGCTTCGGCTATTTCAGCCACACACAAACATTGGCAGTAGAATGGCCCGTGACTTTCAACGTGGCACCGTCATAGAATGCCACCTTTCCAACAAGTCAGTTCGTCAAATTTCAGCTCTAGCAGGGCAGAGATTTGACGAACTGACTTGTTGGAAAAGTGGCATCCTATGAGCTCTACAGTATGTGCCATTCTACTGACAATGTTGGACTATGGAGATTGCATGGCTGTGTGCTCAATTTTATACACCTGTCAGCAACAGATGTGGCTGAAATAGCCGAATCCACACATTTTAAGGGGTGTCCACATACTTGTAGTGTACATACACACCCCAACACACACGCACTAACTCTCCTGCACTGACTCTATGCACACACATTGGACTATACCCACACACTCACGCATACTTACACCCCAACACATACACTACATACGCCCATACACACACAACACGTGCACACATGCATACTGACGCCACACACACACACTCACACTCACACACACTCACCACATACACTGCTTCTACTGTCTATCTATCCTGTTGCCTAGCCACTTTACCCCTACGGTATGTACATAGCTACCTCAATTACCTCGTAGCCCTGCAGATCGACTCGGTACTGGTACTCCCTGTATACAGCCATGTTATTTGTTACTCGTTATTGTTATTCATTATTCACTGTGTATTTATTTTTTATTTTTTAATCTTTATTTTTAACCTTTATTTTTAACATTGTTGGAAAAGGACCTATAAGTAAGCATTTCACTGTTAGTTTACACCTGTTGTTAACTAAGCATGTGACAAATAACATTTGATTTGATTTTGATTTGATCTTCCCTTTATTTTGACTCATTTCTGAGGAGTCTCACCTGTTCTGTCTTCCTGCCAGGCAGTAATACCCAGGGAGGTGTTGACTGAGTGAAGTACTTCTTGTACATGGATGCATCTGTGATCAAGGTGGCCCACGCATC